GGAGGGGGTGGAGAGGAATAAGGGAGAAGAGAGGGGGAGGGTGTTTGGGGGATGGAGCGAAAAAAAGATAGAGGGAAGGGAGCAGAGGTGAATAGACGAATAAACAGGGAAGATGGAAGGTAAAGTAAACAATGCACTTGCTTTAGGCCCCCTATGGACACAATTTAGATTTTGATCATTTTGGAGGCAACATGGGGATTACTATCTGATATAAGTGCCGAAGAATAGAAGTTTTTAGTAAGAGTTTTACGGCACTTGCAACACAATAAGGTCATATAAGTGTCGAAGAACAGAGGTGTTACAAGAGAGTAACAAACACAAAAAAGAAGGAGGAGAGACCAGGACAATAGATGTTCGCTAGGAAAGAAGGAGCAAACCACACCAGAGCACCCGCCAACCACCCACGAAGAATAGAAACATTACTACTAGAGTAACAACAACAACAAAAATCCTCGCCCTCTCCAAAGAAAAACAAAACAAACAAAAAACAAACAAACAATAAAAGCCCAACCGAACAACAAAAAAGAGAAAAAGAAAGAGGATAGGTACAATAAGGACGATAGATGTTTGATAAGAAAGAAGGAAAAAATCACACCAGAGCACCCGCCAACCACCCACGGTCCGTGAGTGTGTGTTGACAGCGTGACTCACCTTCCTGGAGCGCGCGAGCGGCGTTATGACCGGGTGTTTGTGTTTGTTTTTATGTATGTGTGTGTTTGTTTGTGCGTGTATGTAAGAGTGTGAGTGTATGAGTTTATGCATGTGTGTGTGTGTGTGTGTGTGTGTGTGTGTGTGTGTGTGTGTGTGTGTGTGAGAGAGTGAGTGTGTCTCTGTGTGTGTGTGAGTGTGTCTACTACTTGACTCACCTTCCAGGAGCGCGCGTGCGGCGTGATGACGGGGTGTTTATGTATGTGTGTGTGAGTGTGCCTATATGTATGTGTGTGTATGTGTGTGTGTATTTGTGTGTATGTCTATGTATGTGTGTGAGTGCGTCTACAACTTGACTCACCTTCCTGGAGCGCGCGTGCGGCGCGATGACCGGGTGTTTGTGTATGTGTGTGCGTGTGTATGTGAGTGTGTGTTTGTGTATGTGTGTGTGTCTATGTATATGTGTGTGTATATGTCAACAACTTGACTCACCTTTCTGGAGCGCGCGTGCGGCGAGATAACCGGGTGTTTGCTCATCTCGATGTTCTCCTCCTGCAGCATGGACCAGGTCGGCGGAACTGACGTCACAACACCCACGTCTTTCTGGATGACCGGGATGCCGTCCTGTGGAGCGGTGGTCGTATTGAAATCGAAATAGCGATATATTCATAGTTTTACACATATCGATATCTTATCGAAGCAGTAAGAAAAATATCGCTATCTCGATATTTTCATATGACCACCACTCAGAGATAGAGATAGAGATAGAGACAGAGAGAGAGAGAGAGAGAGAGAGAGAGAGAGAGAGAGAGAGAGAGAGAGAATGTGTTGATAAGTGCTTTTGTGTATGTATTTACCATGTCGCAACAAATTTCTCTTTGTGGAAATCAAATTAAGGTTATCTTATTTTATGAACCTACAAGTTTTTGCAACTCCTTCATTTTCACAGGGTTCTCCAACAACTGCCTCTTAGACTCTTCCTCTTTGCGCCTGAAATGGACATAAGAGAGATATTATGAATTTACAAATGTTTTCTGATTGGACATACTCACTGGATACAATCAATGTACCTATATGATTTTATGTTTTAAGCCCATCCATAAATACCAAAATTTTAAAAATCCATATTTTGATTAATTTGGTCTTCATCTTTATCCTGACAACTAGACCAGGCGCTCTGCAAACAAAATTGCATCCTTGCGTTTCATAATACACACGATATATCAGTACCACAACAAAGATCAAATCATTATCACAGCTCACTTAATGGCAAACAAGGGATCCTCTCTCATCTTAGCAGCCATATCCAAGGCAATATTTGCCTTGATTCTTTCTCCAAAAATAACACTTGCATCATCTGCAGAAAAAAGAGTAGCATATAATAAAATAATTTCTTTCAAATAAAGATTTTGAAAAAGCATTCTACTGGTCCCCTGCATTTCTGCATTATACTCGATACAATTGGTTGAAAATATACAAAGATCACAAACACATTTTTCAGCTGATGAATGGCTTTTGTAAAGCGCCAGCCACAGTACTTCTCGCTCAGTTACCCTGTTCAAGAAGATCTATACCCAAGTGTCACCATAGTTAAAATAAAAATATTATGACAAGTTCTGTAATACATTGAAGTTCATGGATAAGAAATTTTCAGTAGGAATATAATGACTGATACATCTCCTTTAAGATAAAATGAGGAACACTGTGGCACTGACAGGTATATAAAGCACAGGGAAAGTCTATGACGAAAGAGTTGAGTGATGTACGAACAAGAAAAAAATAGGTTTATCTAGTGGCGCACTATGGCCATTGCGTTATAAAAAATGTCATAACGTTTTACATAAAATGTCTGTTACTGCGCAGACTTTTCATAAACTGCAACTCAATAACACAAGAAACCCCTAAAAAAAACCTTGAAACAAAATCAGAGTAAGTTTCATTTACAACAAACCTTCTTTCTGTTCAGTCTCCCCCTCAACATGTTTGTCTATTCTTTTTCCCAGAAGGTACTCTTCGCTGTCAGGCTTTTCACCTTTGTACATCCATGAAACTCCATCTCTGAAAACAAAATGATTTTTAGTCCTTGTAAAGGTGTGGATGGTCAATATCAAACAGGATAGACCATAGATACCATAAATATAATACAAGACACAGAACTTTAATCAAAAGCTCTCCTCAGGAATGAACAGTAGAGTAGTTTCCCTTGTATGGCACACAATATCGTTACACCAAAATATTATTTTCCAAACTACAGTAGAACACGCCTATAGTGGGACTTTTGGCTCCAGAAGAAAAATCCCGCTGTAGGTTAGTTCCCGCTATAGGAATACAAAGGGACATTACTGAAAACATTTTAAAAATCCACATGATTACCTTCCTTCCATATGAATAAAATTTGCGCTTTAGGTTAGTCTTTCTTATCTTGTCAATTTCGTTGATTATCTCGGCCTTCAATTCCAGTGAGAAGCATTTCCTTTTGTCTTTGTTGGAAGCTATCTTTTCCTCGGTTAGCTGCTTGTGTTGCCTATCATACCGGTAGGCCTACAGTAGAACTGGTGAAGTGGATGTGAGCGTATGCCTGAGCATCAATGATCGCAATTCAATGGCATATCACTTAAAATTTTGGAGTAGCTCACATAACGCATCTCTCCGCACCATCTTTCTCTGCCACCTGACCCACCTCACTCATCACTGGACAGGCCAATCACAACGTCGCACTGCTGACTGCCCGTTTGGACACCGCCTACAGCCCCACACCCCCCAACCTTCTTCCCCACAGCTAGAGCTCGCTCGATCTCTCCCGCTGTATCCAAGTTCACGCCTTTCCTTGCCCCGTTAAACCCGAGCACAGGTAATTGAGTTTGCATAGAAAAAAAAGGAGGATTCCGGTAAGGTCCCGCTGCAGCGGGTGACGCTACAGTCATGTTCTGCTGTATAGATCTACATCACTTTTGGAGTGGTTCACTTAACGCGTCTCTCCACACCATCTCTTTCTAGGCCTACTGCCTGCCCCACCTCTCTTATCATTGGACTAGCCAATCACAACGCCGCACCACTGACTGCCCGTTTGAAGCCTGCCTACAGCCCCCGCCCCCCAAATCGAGCGAGCCCTCCCGCTGTATCCAAGTTCGGGACTTTCCCTGCCGCGCTATATATCCAAGCATAAGTAATTGAGTTCACACAGATAAAAAAAGTGGGACTCCGGTAAGTTGCCGCTATAGTCATGTTCTACTGTATATAACACTGTTACAGTCCTCAAAGCAGACATTAAAACAAAACATAGGGAAAGATATTTTCTTCTCAGTGCAAAATTCTTGACAATATTATATTAACAGTTTCACAAAATAGTATGGAAATACAGATTTCTCAAAAGTTACTGCTGTTTTTGGTGGTTCAGATGTTATCATACTCCATTTAAATTAATGGCAAGTCTTAAATTGCTTACTAAAAATAAGCTGCAGCAGTAAAACTATTGCCCAGAGCATTCAATGTTTCCTTGTAAAAACTCTTTTCATCTTCCACTATAATTCATTGAGACATGATAAAAAAAACATCAACTGAGATTACAATGGTGTCGCTTCATGAGTGATTTAAGTTGCAGGACACAATAATTCACTTTTCAAAAGGATAATACAATATGGGAATAATATTTTATAAGCAAAATAGTAAAACAGTTTTTATACAAAATTATTTACCCTGTCTCTGTTCTCAAGGAAGCAATCTTGTGGCGCTCATCTGCATCCAACTTCTCCATCACTACTATTGAGTGTCGATGTTTCTAAAAACAGATTACAAATAGAAAGTGAAAAGTGACTTTATGCAGTTGCGAGTGCAGTAAAATCTTACTAAAACTAACTATCGCTAACCCTGACCCTACCCCTCTATTCTACTCTGTCTCATAGTGGTCACTCGTTACGGAAGTCCCCCCAAAGACTTAATTCAGTACTTTCATGCTTCAGTTTATTAAAAAATGCCCCAAACAAGGTGATTTACACTTTTCTGTGTCTGCCCCTCTAAGACTTATGCTACTCCTGTCACTACCACCACACCCGACCAAACTAAGTCTCAAAAGTTGGTTGTTAAAATAGTGATGCATATTTTCATCTCATCGTCAAAGCAGGGAATATGCTACAATGATGTGCAAATTTTTGTGTATCATCAAGTACTTTGAATGAAAATATAGCCTGAGAAAGCATTTCTTGTCCTAATGGTTAAATTTAGTGGAATTACAAAATGTATGTGGAAAATACCAAAAATTCGAGCGGTCAAAACGTGACATTACAAGATGGTAATTTTAATGAAGTGAAACTTTATGCAGGAAAGGAAAATGCTAACCATCTCATGTTGTTTCTGTTGTAGGTTGAGTGTTTAAGAAAAGCACGCATTTTGGCGATAAACTGTAGGGCAGAAAGCCCCAGACTGGGTGACAACTCTAGTGACAGGAATGGACATGTTTCTCGTCATTTTCCTGTTCTATTTTAAGCCTATTTAATGATGAAAAAAGAAAAGACTTTTAAAGAGATGAATAAAATGGGCATTACTTCAAGTCGAAAGGGGTTATTAAACACACTTGTTGAGTTGTCTTCACTCGTTGGGATATTATAAGCAAAAAAACTTCCTCATCGCAATTTCTGTCATTTCATCATGTCCTTTCATGACCCTGTATTTTGTTTCTCGGCTTTGCTACCACATGTTTTAATAAACTAACTACTTCCATATAAATGTCTCCAGGTGAGACTGAGCGCACATTTTTGTTGATGGAGGACCGGGGAGGAGATTAAGAGGTACTAAAGTTTTTTGTCATCACTTTCCTTATCATCATGTCCGTTTCAGATCTATTAAATTGTCAAGTCCGGTGGCTAAACAAGCCATGGTCTCGTTAAATCTAATAAAGCATGGTTTAGTTTCTGTGTAAGAATCAGTTGCATAAAATAGTGCTTGATGATTCAAAAATAAATCTGAAATTTAGAGATAGGTCACACATGGACATAAGCAATGAAGGAAAAAAATTCATGTCATCCTCATGTCCATTACATTCTCATCAGCTTTTAGTTGTAGAATATTGCAAAATTCATTACTGCTTAGAAGATAAAAGTAAAGGAGGCACATCTGAATGAATTTTAATCCTTCACCACGGCTGTTCAGTTTCACTCTCCGAGCGGCGCACTTAGTTGTAGCCCGTCTGACCCTTCTGACCCCTGTGACCCCTCGCGGAAGGTAATAAATCTCGACGCGTTACGCCACTTCCACCGGCCTATCCCTAGATCTGACCGCTCCGCGCGGTAAGGGTACAATTTCCAGAAATTAACTGGAATTTACAACATAGTACTCCCTTTCTCCATCCCGTAAACCTAGGAGTGTTGTATACTAAATAAAAGCTCAGCATCTCCTCTATAACCCGCAGTTTGAAACCAGTTTCTATCTCGTTTTATACTCCCTTGGGATACCTATATACTACCACTGTTGTACAGCTCTGTGTTATTGAAGTTTTTGGATTTAAAAGAGAATTTTGATAATTCGAGCCGACAATTTTTGTTTTAACCTTCATATTTCTTTTTATAAATCTATTCTCTCCATTGTGCTGAAAAAATCTCAGAGTAGGAGCTAAATTTCCATGAACTAGCGCACTTTATGTGACTAGTCTAGTGCAACGCTCAGTGCAAAGAAAAACTCTGTGAAGCGGGAACTTGCCGTCTGACTTTCTTGTGTGTTTATAATTATTGAGCCTTTTAACATCAAAGATGGAACACTCTTATAACATCCACTTTGAGAATTTAAACAAGTTGTGTCGTACTTGTGGTGAAAGAAGTTTAAAAACTAAAGTTTCTCAGCAGCGTCGATTTTTGTGTAAAAACTTTAAGTTTGACTTATTGCAATATTATAGACTGAACATTGACAACGACACAGCCGACAAGCATTCCAACACTCTGTGCAGGAAATGTGGCTCGCGAATATACACACTACGGAAGCAAATTACAAATGCGGCTTTGAAGGCCGCACAGAAATGTGTAGAAGACAGTGCCTATGTTTGGTCCGCTTACGACGCAAGCATAAGCATTAACGAGTGCTCTGTGTGTGCTCGCTATGTTAAACTTAGCAAAGGGTGCATTAAAGAGCGCATTCCTTTGCTTACGGAAGGACACGAGTTGCGTTCTCCGCCCACCGCTCGTATGGCAGTGGAGTCTGCAAGCATAACGGATACCCCCACCCCAGATGTTTCCACTGTAAGTACAGGCGATGGTGCTCAGCCCTTTACCACTCAATCCATTGACAGCACATTTACACATACAGACGAAGACTCATTTTACATTTCACCAGAAACTCATATTTTGACATCCACACCTAAAACGAAGACGAAACAGTTCACAGACAGTACCAGCTCCCCATTAGTCAAACATGAAACGACAATAGAGTCAACACTTTTGAAATCTGACACAGAGCCACTCACACCGTTAGAAGAAAAAGTTGCTACACATCTGATCAGACGAAAGCTTAACACATCTCAGACGAAAGGACAGTTGAGGTTCAAAACAAAAGGACAGCCATTAGTGTTTCAGAGGATAGTCACACACAGAATATCATCTGACTTAGCATCTCTCGCCATCTCTCACACAAATATTGTACACCCGTCAGAACACATTTCCATTAGCGCAGACATCGATTCATATCTAAAATTATTCCGCAAGTTATTTCCTCACACAGTGTCACCAAAAATACACATGCTAGAGCGCCATTGCCTGCCATTTATGAAAGCCTGGGGCTTTGGCCTTGGCATGCTGGGCGAACAAGGGGGGGAAATGCTCCATGCCACAATCGCCAGAGTGGAAAAGAGAACAGTCGGCATAAAAAGCAAACAAAAACAACTGAAAGCTGTGTTGGAAGCACACCGACTACAGACATCTTCAGATTTGAAGGCCGCACTCCCTGAGCCGGCGGAAAAACGCAGGAAAAAGTAAACAGGACTACAAGACGATTTAGACGATTCAGACCATTCACGGATAAAACATTAGTTCCTAAACAGTTTTATAGTAGTATGTTTATCAAAATATTGACTATAGTAACATCAATTCAGCTGTGAAGGTGTAAAGAACGGTCTTCATTCTCATGTGAAAAGTACTCGTGCGTTGGCTGGACTCAACTGTTTTCCCACTCACTGACAAGACTGTGTGCATTAATCAACAATAGCAACAAGACTTTTTGGTCCTACCTCATAAACGTAAGTGTGTTTGAAAGTTCAAAGTCTGACTGTGAGCTGAAAATGAAGACTGTAACAATCTGTCGGTCCATTTATTTTTAATTATTTTTTAAAAAACATTTTTGTTTGTAATAACCGATCTATGATGAAAGCCACTTTCCCCCTCTTTTAAACAACACTTTCTTTTACTTCTCCGTGATAAAAATAATACTGTCGTAAACTACACCTTCGTCTTCATGTGATCATTTGGTTGTTGTTTCATTGACTTTCTCGGCTTTCATAAGAACTGGTGTTGTTTTATGTGTACAAAACATAACATCGCGGGGGAGCCGCTGACCGCGAGGCCGAGTGCCCGCAGGTAGCGTAACCGGGGCGTGACCTCGTCTCGGAGGTCAGGTCGACCGGCAACTAAGAGATCCTGAGTGGAACAGCCGTGTCACAGGAGCAAAAAAGGAAAAATTGAAACAAAATGGATGGACATGATCAATGACAAAAAGTTTACAGTTTAATGTCATCATCATGTCCACATCGAATATCACTCTATTATAAAATATTTCTTCATCAGATTTTTTCTGCCAATCATATTTATATTTAAACTGTAAGGTATACTTGTAAAACCTATTTTGAAGCCTGGGTATGCTTTTCGAAATGCTCAAAGGATGAAGGGATAAATGGACATGATGCATGACATGTTTCTTCTTGTCATCACTTCATATGTCATGTCCATTGCATATCTCTGCGTGCTCACCAACCTATGGCAACTTTTCTGTTTGTCTAAATCATGTCTCTGGATAAGACAATCAAATGACTTCATGTGGGTTCAAGAGAGTTCTTCAGACTTCATTAGTTATCAAATAAAAGAGAAATTTACATATCAAACATTACAGACATGATATATGACAGTAATCCGAGTGGAAATCTGACAGATAATTTTGGTACAGTTGGTCTACTTTGATGTTTTTTGCCTTGATTTGCCCATTTCTATTATCATCCTGATGAATTTTAGACAAATCCTATAGAAACTTGCAAATTACAGTACACTTTATTGTGTCATCATCATGTCCATTCAATAAGTGCTGACTGCCAGAAAATAGAACATTACGAAAAAACGGTCAGACTTTTTATCTTAAATTCAGGACATAATGAAACTTCAGCTTACTGTTGATAAAATGAGATTGCTTTTGGTTTAGTTAGATTTCAAAATTCATCTTTTTGTCACACTTTCAGGACCAACTTTCGAGACTTGCTCATATATATATATATATATGAGGGGTGGATGTCAACAGAGAAGTCCAAACGGGGAATCAGGCTTACTCTGCTCATCTCTCTAGCCTAAACAGTACAAAGTCTGCTTCGACTATCAAGGCACCCCAGAAATGGCAGTTCACAAGAGAGAGACAAACATAAAAGAAATAGATGAAAATGACGATAGTAAGGATGACGAGGAAAGAAAAGGCAGCAGTTCCCCCTATGTTGTTCTGGCACAGTATGAGCACGACATTGATAAATCAGCCCATTTACAATTCTACAGTGAATAAAAACATGTCTATATCCCCCCTTTGGGAATGGTTTAAAGATACTTC